TTCAGTTCTCAAATTGCAAAACATGATTTTCATGAAGCCCAGCAACATATAATTTTCTCAGTTTTTCTTCATTTCTTTTAATCATTACTTTTTCTTTAATTTTCCCATTTTCGTGTCTTCTAGGATAACACTGATTTAGGCAAATGATGTACCCTCCAAGAAAATGGAGGGTGGGTGGGTGGTTGGGGATGGTATTTGCTAAGATACGACTGATTATGGCAAATAACGTACCTTCTAAAAAAATTGATGGTGGGTGGGTGGGGCTAATACCTATCAAGATAAGACTGATTTTGGCAAATGAAGTACCCCCTGAGAAAATAGATGGCTGGTAGGTGGGGCTAGTACTTGCTAAGATAAAACTAATCTAGGTAAATGACATACCCTCTAAGAAAATAAAGGGCGGGTGGGCGGGGCTAGTATAAGACTGATTTTCGCAAATGACGTACCCGCTTCAAAAAATAGATGGTGGGAGGGTGGGGCTAGAAACTGCTAAGCTAAGATAAAACTAAACAATAGTAAGAATATTCACTGGAATAAACTGGGGGTAGATGGGCGGGGCTACTGCTTGCTTATAAGAAAAAAGGTAAACTCAGCTCCACCCACTTTTTTTTCTATTTTATTGACTTATTTTATTTACTGTAAAATCCGCAAAAACTAAAATTTAAAGCAAAGTGCCTATCCCTACTCCGTTTTGATCATTCATTCTTAATGGCCCTGAAGAACGGAAGTTGGATTTTATGTTGATAAATACTAAATTCCAGGGTTACATTTTTTTAATTTTCAGTAAATTTTATTTTTTTTTCGAAAAAATGTTTCAATTTTTGATTTGCAATTTTTATAGTTGTCATTTATAATATGTAATAATAATAATAATCTTTAAAATATTTCAGTTTTCCAATTTTACGATTTTAGAATTTTTCCATTTTTCAATTATTATTGGATTTTAAAACTTTTTCGTTTATACGACTTTTCAATTTTTGATTTTGATTATTTTACTGGAAAAGAGGAACTGAATTCTATCTTGATTCTTCATTTTTTCCTTTCTTCAGATTTTCAATGTGCAATTTTTCGTTTGGGTTTTTTATTTCCTTTATATTTACAATGTTTTTCAATGTTCTCATTTTATAATGTTTTGTTTTTTCAATTTCAATTTTTCGATTTGTAATTTTGCAGTTTTTAATTTTTTTTTGTTGCTCAAATTTTACAATATGCATCTCCTTGAGTTTTTTTTTATTTTTCAGTGTTTCGATTTTCCAACTTTTGGATGTTTCAGTTTCAGTTTTTAGTTTTTACAATTTTTCGATTTGCAACTCTTCCTTTCGATTTTTTATTCACTTTTGTTCTTCAATTTTCCGATTTTTCAGTGTTCTGATTTAATAAATAAAAAAAAAAGAAATTTTTAATTTCTGGATTTTTCAAAGTTTGGATTTGCAAATTTTAGGTCTACAGTCTTACGATTTTGCAACTTTTAGACAATTTTTCGAATTTTTCACATTTTCGATTTTACGATTTTAGAAATTTTCCATTTTCCAGTTATTCGATTTTTTATTTTTCAGTTTCTCGATATTTTTTTTTAATTTTTCAATATTTCAATGGTAGTTTTTCGAATTGAAAAATCGAAAAACCAAGAAATCGGAAAACCCAAAATTTAAAAAATCAGTTGAAAAATCGGGAAATGAACAATCGAAAAATAGAAAAAATCCAAAACTGATGCCACGAAAAATTAGAATATTGGAAAATTGAAAACTCGGAACATCGAAAAATTGGAAAATTGAAAAATCGAAAAGTCGAAAAATTGAAAAAATGGAACATCGAAAGATGAATCATTAAATCATAGAAAAATCGAAAAATTGAGAAATCGAATAAGCCCGAAATCGAAAAAACGTGAATAATTTAATGTAAAAAATCGATAAATCGAAAAATCCAAAATTCTAAAATTTTAGAAATCCAAAAATTAAATTCTCGAAAATTTAAAAAATCTAAAATTTAACAATCGAAAAATTGAAACATCGAAAAAGTAATAAATCGAAAAATCAAAAAATTTAGTCAAAATATTGGAAAATCGAAGAAAAATTGAAGAATAGAATAAGTGAAAAATCTTGAAAATTGAGAAAACGAAAAATCGAAGTCCAAAATCTCCGAAATTTAAAAAATCGAAAAATTTAAACACCGAAAAACGGAAAAATCGAAAATCGAGCCATCGTGAAGATGAGAAATCGATCAGTCGAAAAAAAAAAAGCGATTAATCGAGAAGTTGAGAAATGGGAAAATCGAAAAATTAATAATGTAGAACCCTTAAAAACCGAAAAATTGAAAAATCGAAAAACTGAGTAATCGAAAGTTGAAAAAAAAATCTAAAAATCTAAAAATTCAGTAATCAAACAGTTGTTATAGATTTACAATTTTGATTTTTTTTCGAAAAATCTCGACGTCTAGCATAAAAATTCAACACGGATTAATAAACCACAAGTTCAGGACTATGTTACTTTTTAATATTTATTCCACAAAAGTGTAAGATGACTTCATCAATTTCTACGGAGGGGGGCATTGATGGATACATTTTGATTAAACAGGACGAAAAGGACAAAGAACGAAAAGGACGAAAGACGAAAAGAAGGAAAAGGACAAAAAGGTCGGAGGAGGAAAAGGACGAAGGACGAAGGACGAAAGGGATGAAGGACGAAAAAGACGAAGGACGAAAAGGACGAATGACGAAAAGGACGAAGGACGAAAAGGAGGAAAAGGACGAAGGAGGAAAAGGACGAAAAGGACGAAGGAGGAAAAGGACGAAGGAGGAAAAGCACGAAAAGGACGAAGGAGGAAAAGAACGAAGGACGAAAAGGAGGAAAAAGACGAAACGGACGAAGGACGAAAACGACGAAAGGCGAAAAGAACGAAGGACGAAAGGGACGAAGGACAAAAAGGACGAAGGATGAATTATAGAGTCGTCAAAACTGCAAAAATGTTTCGATTTTACAATTTTTGGAATTTCCAATTTTTCGATTGGATTCGTTTTTTCTTCGTTCCAATTTTTCGATTTTTAATTTTCTAGATTTTAGTTTTTCGTTTGTTTCGTAAGTTCTGCGATTTTCCACTTCTTTTATTTTGTGACTTCTTTATTTCAGTTTATCGATTTTTCAGAATTTTTTGTTTTTCGAATAAAAAAAATGGAAAATTTGAAAAACTGGAAAATTGAAAAATTAAAAAGGAAAAAAACACGAAGTATAAAATGAAAACATCGAAAAATCTAAAAACTGGAAATCAAGAACTGAAAAAATCGAAAGATTAAACATTGAGAGTGGGGCTAGTACTTGCTAAGATAAAAGTCATTTAGGCAAATGACATTACCTTCAAAATAATAAAGGGCGGGTGGGCGATCTAGTACGTGCTAAGGTCGGACTGGTTTTGACAAATTTTGAATTGTGAAAATAAATACTTGTTAATATAACACTGATTTTGGCAAATCATATATGATACTGGTTTATAATGAGGGGTTCGTGAAATTTTTTACTCATGCTATAATCCCTCACATTATAAACTCCTTTAATAATTAAAAATACCAAATTTTGTGTGATAGATTATCATAATTTATTGTTACGTAAGTCTATTTTTTTAACAAACAAATTAATTTATTTTTATTAAATGGTTGTCTGTATTCTTTTGTTTGTTTTTTTTAATTGTTTTTGAAAGAAGTACAACTCAGCCGAGCCTCCCTTCTCAATGCATCGATGTTACGCCACTGATGGCCCGGCTACAAGTCGCGCAACTTAAGCCCCGCCCCTGTACCCTTCCGTGCTGAAATTACTTCTAAGAAAGCTCCAAAGAACTGGAAAAGAAATGGTTAAAAAAATCCCTGAACCACATTTTTGAAAAAACTTCAAACTTGAAGAATTAACTTCGTAATTCAGATATCTGTAACGTAAATTTAATTGTCAGTCTAAAATTCCGATAAAAATAGTCACAAATGACTTCTCTCAACAGCAGAAAATGAGGTTGTAGATAGTATTCTAGCAAATTATTACTAATTAATTATTTAACTGTCTATTAGACATGCAGCTCATAAAAACAAATCAAACGAACAATTTTTAAGTTTTAAGGCAAGGATTTTTTACATTATTTTTTCTTTGTTCAATAAACAGTCCCTAACAACTTGATATAAATTTAGTGCGCCATTTTTGGATTACCCTGTATAAAAAAAAAAACGCTGTGACACTCGTTAAAAAGAACTCCTTTGCGATTTTTTTGTGAATCCTTGTATGGTTAAGAAAATTAGAATATCGTAAAATTAGGATTAGAATTAGAAAAATATGTAAAAATATAAAGAGCGTTCCAAAAAACTATAAAATAAATTACAATACAAAAACTATATAGCAGAAGTGATTTTAATGTAATTATGCTACTCAAAGAACTTGTACGACTTCAGTTTTTCGCTTTTTGAAATATTCATGAATGTGCACTTAGTGACACCCTGTATATGTTGATGTTACCATAAAAAAAAAAATTCCAAACTAATTTTTATAATTTGTCTGAGAAACTGGACTTTTTTTATTGTTTCAGTTCAGGGGTCGCAGTAACTTTGGACTACTTTTTTAAAGATAATTCCGATCAAGAAACAAACATGTTTTAAGAAAAAAAATTATGTTTACATATATTTTCTTCGCAAAATTCGTTTCCTACACAAGTAATTAAAGTTAATTTTGGTGGATGAGTAGAGGTGAAACACTGATGAGGTATACAGTTCTGGATTTTTTTTTTGTTGAGATTTTACTCTATTATCTTGTAAATTTCAAACAAAGAAATGTCGTTTTATTCGACAATCCCACTCTCGAACCTCACACTCAATAATGCGATTGCAAAACGGATGCATCTAATTTCTCCGTCGTCTGCATCGCCAATTAAGCCTGATTAGCAAAAAACCTCGCCAAATTAGCTCCGTTCACAACAAACCGGAAAAGTTCAGTTAAAAACCGAAAATCGGGTCGCCTCCACCGAAAACTCACCTTGAGGTACGATCCGTAATATTTCGTGACGAAAGGACTGTCGCACTGTGACAGCACCATAATTTCCTGTTGTATATCTTCGATTTCATCTTCAGCCTCTTCCAAATCTATGATCTTGATGGCGACCACCTGCGTCGTTCGATTGTCGATGCCTTTGAAAACTTCGCCGAATGATCCTTTGCCGATGAGCTCCTGTTTCGTGAATATCAGCTCTGGATCGACCTTCTGCAACAAAAGGAGCCGTTAAAAGCCGGTCTTCTCGCCCGCGTGCGATCAGGACGCTCACCGCACATCCAGCGGGATTATCGCCCATAGACGTGCTCGAATGACAGTTCAACTTTTAACGGAACAATTTTTTTGGCAGTGTCAAACTGTTTCGAGCGTCGCCCCGGCGATGCGAAACTGGACCGAAAATAAAGGAAGGAGCGCTTTTTCAGCGCTTCCATTAAGCTTAATTGGTTCCTGTTGGTTGCGCATATAAATTCGGACCTTTCGGAGATAAACGACGGCGATGATGCGTCATGATTAATTCTGTCGGGATTAAGCCGAATTTGGGGGCATAAAAATCAGGCACTACGATGTTCTGAGGCTAGTCTTTGACAGCGAGCGCGTTTACTTAGCTTTTACAAGCCATAAACGTGTAAATACGTCACGCAGAAAACGACGAGGACTTCTAGTTCTCGAGGGCGGTAATTTTATTTTCTAAATAATGTGAGCTGGTTTCGGTACGGACGCCGGGGAGGCTTAGAAAATTAGGCATTCGACTTTCGGGGAAGGCCGAATCGATACTCGCTCAACCGTCACAACGACCTCTACGAAAACATCATACATAATAAAGTATCTACGTTATGAATATTTGGTTACGTTTCTGCTGTTTATGCAGCGTCTTGTTTTCTGGTCTATTCAGGATCAAATATGCGCTGTAAGAGAAATTTCCATAAACAGCACGTAAATAGTCGGGCAATTTCGGGGCTCATTTCGTTTATTTTTGGGGACAAAGCACGGTTGATAATGCAAATGTTTCCAGGTGCTAACCAGAAATACGATCCTCGGTTGCACTTGAAATATTTATTTGCATAAAGTGTTTCCGGAAGATGGAGGAATATTAAATTACAACATCTTTATTTCAATCTGTACAGATCTTTCAACATGTGCCACGAATTAAATTGCCCGTTTGTAAATGAATGGGGTTTTTATGGTCCACTTGTAACGCACAACGCTTTTTTCTTAAGGAAAATTCCACAATTTGGGCGTTTTTAAATACCTGGAAGCTCGCTTTCTAAAACATGTTATCGTTATTTGCACGGTAGGTGACACGGAAAAACCACCAAATTGATAAAAGTAAGTTTTGGAAATAACGAAACTAACAATGTTATTAGTTGTGTTTACTATCTTATCATAACAAACCAATATTTTGACGGAAAAAACAGTGTCACATCAACTTACTACACAAATATATACCAGATCGCCCACAGACAAATTACCAAATGCGTGTGCGTTATCAATGTAAAACCACAAAAATTATTTTTTTTTTAAACCACATTGTTACAATAACAAAATAAAGATTATGAAAACACTCCTAAAATATTCAAGTTAAACAAATATATCAACTCGTCTGTTTTCTGATTTCATTACTATCTCTATTATTAACTCTAAATTAATATAGCATCAGATAAAGTGATTAATTAATCTGCTCTGCTGGCTGAGATGATATAAAGTAAATAAGCAGAACGTCATCAACTTAATGACTATTTGTACAGAGTAATATGAGACACTTTTGTATTAAGTCATTTATTATTTCTTCCTGGATGTTAAAGATGACTATATTTTAATAAAATATACCAGGCTACTTGTACTTTTTGTGTTTATAATAATCATCAAGTCATACAGAACAACGGTAGAAATACCGCTGCATTATTTTTGTTGTTGATTTAATGTCATTGAAATGCTTTTATACTACGTTTTTTCCTCTTTTAAAACATAGTTTGCTAGAAAAAATTATCATTAAAAAATTCTGATGACCTCAGAACACTAAAAGTAACTTATACTAATTATCAGTTTTTTTATATTTTGCTCAATATTGCCGAAGGTGAACTTAAACCCCGCCCCCTGCTAAGTTCGGTAAGGTAATTGAAAACGCAATTGATTAGTACTCCAATATAGAAACTCCCACCATGAACCAATTAATTCGAATAATTATGTAATAACCCTTCCTCCATTTTGAATTTTTAATTCTAACAGAAATTTTCCCTTCTGTTAGCAACAGTGCAGGACTTCGAAAACTGGCAACCTGTTCCTGAAGCATGTCATTTAAATCGTATGAAGGACAAACTACCCAATTCGTGTTTAATCGAAAGGTTTTAATCGATTAAATTAGTGTATTTTCGTTGCTGGCTATATCCGTTAACTAAATATTTTTGCTCCTACTTGCTTATTGACGTTAATTTTTTGGACAGAATTTACTAAATTTTAATAATGTAGGAATTTCTACGCTTTAGTGACATTTAAATTACTAATAACCGAGCAAAATTCATTACATGGATGTAAAAAATAATCGACTGCAATTATCAAGGTTGATTAACAAATAATAGTAAAAATAATAATCATAAAATTTTTAAAGTGATACTAAATTTTTTCATCAAAATCTTACTACAGCGCGGAAATATAAACAACAATTAAGAACTATAACGTCAAATTCTGATATTCATATTTCATAATTATTAATTACACAGATAGTTGATTTAAATTCGTTTGTATAATTTTTCTTTTCTTAATGAACAAAATTTTGCACGCTGGTATTTAACGTCAAGGCTATTGCTACGATAAAACAAAAAAGAAATGTAAGTATTGTATAATTTTTACCAAAAAAATATATATCGTTTCAATAAAGCAGATATGAAACAGGATCAACGCAAGAACCATGAATCACTCCAGACTGAACACGTAACGTTTAATTTAGGTAGAATTTTAAAATCGTGAATGATGCAATATTTAATTCCAATTAGTTAAAATGCATTCTTGAAACAGCAGTGGATAATGTTAGGTGGTTTTATGTTTATTTCTTTCAAAATTATAAATACAATTAAAAAATTACATAAATGATCAGAATTGTGACTGAAACTTTGAAACATCTCTGAACAAGATGTGAAGGACTTAATGTAGATATTTGTAATTTTCGTTGATTTAAAAGTCATCTTTTAAAATGAGCATTAAAAGTTGTAAAAATAGTTATATTTGAATTTTATTTCAGGTAATTAGGCAACAATATCATTCTTTAAAATTTTTATGTTTGGAAAATATCGTTACATAAAAACAGAAACGAAGACGAGAAATGCGAGAACCTTGAGGCACACCTCATTCGACCCAAAATGAGTTTGACCGGAAGGACTTAATTTTCAAATTTTAGATGTAGAAATATTAATTTCTATCTTGATTAAAAGCCATTTTTCTCAACAAAACTGAAAAATGTTACCATTATCACCAATTCATTTTTTTCTAAATACGGTAGGATTTTTGTATTATTTTCATTTCTTTGCATATATTACAGAATTGATACACAAATGAGACTGAAACTTTGAAACACCTCCGAATAAGATACACTACATTTATTTTAAACGGCGAATTTTAAAGTACTTAATTTAGAAATTCTAATTTTAGTTGATTTAAAATTCATCTTTTCAAATGAGCATTAAAAGTTGTAAAAATAGTCATATTTGAATTTTATTTCAGGTAATTAGGCAACAATATCATTCTATAAAATTTTTATATTTAGAAAATATCGTTACATGAAAACAGAAACGAAGACGAGAAATGTGAGAACCTTGAGGTACACCTGATTCGATCCAAAATGAGTTTGACCGGAAGGACTTAATTTTCAAATTTTAGATGTAGAAATAATAATTTCTATCTTGATTAAAAGACATTTTTCTCAACAAAACTGAAAAATGTTACCATTATCACCAATTCAATTTTTTTTAAATACGGTAGGATTTTTGTATTATTTTCATTTCTTTGCATATATTACAGAATTGATACACAACTGAGACTGAAACTTTGAACCACCTCCGAACAAGATACACTACATTTATTTTAAACGGCGAATTTTAAAGCACTTAATTTAGATATTTGTAATTTTCGTTGATTTAAAATTCATCTTTTCAAATGAGCCTTAAAAGTTGTAAAAATAGTTAGATTTGAATTTTATTTCAGGTAATTAGGCAACCAATATCATTCTATAAAATTTTTATACATATTTGGAAAATATCGTTACATAAAAACAGAAACGAAGACGAGAAATGCGAGACCCTTGAGGCACACCTGATTCGATCCAAAATGAGTTTGACCGGAAGGACATGATTTTCAAATTTTAGATGTAGAAATAATAATTTCTATCTCGATTAAAAGACATTTTTCTCAACAAAACTGAAAAATGTTACCATTATCACCAATTCAATTTTTTTTAAATACGGTAGGATTTTTGTATTATTTTAATTTCTTTGCATATCTTACAGAATTGATACACAATTGAGACTGAAACTTTGAAACACCTCCGAACAAGATACACCACATTTATTTTAAACGGCGAATTTTAAAGCACTTAATTTAGATATTTGTAATTTTTGTTGATTTAAAATTCATCTTTTCAAATGAGCATTAAAAATTGTAAAAATAGTTATATTTGAATTTAATTTCAGGTAATTAGGCAACAATATCATTCTATAAAATTTTTATATTTAGAAAATATCGTTATATAAAAATAGAAACGAAGACGAGAAACCCGAGAACCTTGAGGTACACCCGATTCGACCCAAAATGAGTTTGACCGGAAGGACTTAATTTTCAAATTTTAGATGTAGAAATATTAAATTCTATCTTGATTAAAAGACATTTTTCTCAACAAAACTGAAAAATGTTACCATTATCACCAATTCAATTTTTTTTTAATAAGGTAGGATTTTTGTATTATTTTCATTTCTTTGCATATATTACAGAATTGATACACAATTGAGACTGAAACTTTGAACACTTCGGAATAAGATATACTACATTTATTTTAAACGGCGAATTTTAAAGCACTTAATTTAGATATTTGTAATTTTCGTTGATTTAAAATTAATCTTTTCAAATAAGCATTAAAAGTTGTAAAAATAGTATCATTTGAATTTTATTTCAGGTAATTAGGCAACGATATCATTCTATAAAATTTTTACATTTGGAAAATATCG